CCTTTATCTTATTGTCCAGTTCTTTTACCTGCATCCTTTCCCTGACTAGTCTAGGAATCCACAGCCTTTCTCTAGCAACCAGTTGCCCCCTCACCACCTCATAAAGGGTTGTGGTTGGTGCAGAGGCCGATTTCAATTTATTTTTAAGAACTTTATTTTCTTTCCACAAATACAGATAAGCACAAAATAGAAAACTATACATTAATATATACTGATGGAAAAAACAAATGCAACACCTTCTCCTCCACACTCTGGCCCTCCCGTCTGCGTGGAACAGGCTGAAGAGTGACTTATCCAGGAAGAGGACCTGATGCCACTGCTGACGAGTCCATCGCAGCCTCTGTCTGGCCCAAGCCAGTTGGGTGTGACGTCTAGGAGGTGTGAGCTGACAGGTCGCCTTCCTCTATGGCCAGCAGCATGGAGCCTCACTGTCCTGTCACTGAAGTGGGCACTGGGTCTGCTGGCAGTTTCAGCAGCAGTACGGGTGGCAGATCTGAAACGATCTCTCAGATGGACCAGCCTGATGTGTCGGTCCAGCTCAGGTGTGGTCACTCGAGGGCAGGTGGATCTTGGACGGTCATCTGTCCTGCCGGTCTGCTGAAACCCTCTCTGCAGTCGGGACACAGTGGAGCGGCTTACTTCATAGTGTCTGGCAACGCTGCTTCTGGTGACATTCGAGGCATTATAGAATGCACAGAAAACTGACTAAGTGTGGCCTTTTTCTTGCAGTGACCTAATGTTTGAATTAAGGGCTTTTTAAAGGTGACCTGATCAGGCATTGTTCCACCTGGACCTCGTTGGGTAAAAGTGCACCTAACGAGCTTTTGTGTGATTGGCAAGTTGCAATGCCTCACTGCACAAGCTGTATTGCTGGTCAGGGGGCTTAAAACAAATTGAAACCTTTTTGTGAACGTACATAAGCTATGTAATACATAAGCCACCTTTTTCTGGCCTTTCGCTTTCACAGGATGAACGATCCCTCCTCAGGAAAAGCCTCAGTTTTGTACTAGTTCCCAGGAAGCTGGACATTCCCCAGACCAGAGTCGACCTTAACTGCTTTTACCACAGAATCTGTCTCAAAGCACATTTTGCTGACGATTCCTCTTCATAGGCAGCTGACAACAATCCGGTTATTGATGTCACTAACAATATTAATCCTAAACAGAGCTGTTGGACTCCCCCCTCTGGCCGTTTTCCACCAATGCACCATTCAAGCTCCCAAGACACTCTCTATACTCAGTAAACACAGGTCCAACCTCACCCAAGGAGAAATTCAGGTGCTCCAGTCTCTCCGCAACAGGGATGATATCGTCATCAAACCAGCGGACAAAGGAGGCGCTGTTGTGGTGTGGCGTAAGGACCTATATACTGTATCTTTGAAGCCTTTAGACAACTAACCTGCCTACCTCCCTCTACAGCAGGACCCTACCACTGACTACCAAAAGGAAGTGGTATCCACCATCTCCCTTCTTATCAGCAGTAAGGAGCTCCCCCGGGAGGCGAACCGGCTCATCATTGAACATCCGCAGGTATCTCAATTTTACCTCCTCCCCAAAATCCACAAACCAGACACCCCTGGACGCCCCATTGTATCAGAATACAACTGTCCGATTACTTACATCTCTGCCTTTCTTGACAGCCTCATGAGACCGCTGGTTGAAGGTCTTCCCTCATACATCAAGGACACCAACCACGCGCTCCAAGTTTTTAATGATTTCCAATTTCAGGGCTCCCGAATGCTACATTTTTACCATGGACATCACATCTCTTTACACCGTCATTCCCCATAATGATGGCCTTACAGCCCTCAGGCACACGCTGGACAAACGCACAATGCTTGATCCACCCACACACACCCTGGTACGCCTTGCAGAATTGGTTCTCACACTGAATGCCTTCTCATTTAATTACCTTTTTTACCAACAGGTTAATGGAGTTTCCGTGGGCACCAGAATTGGACCCAGCTAAGCCAACATTTTTGTCGGCTGGGTAGAAGAACGCTTCTTCGCTTCCTACACTGGCTATGTCCCTGACCTCGGCTGGGTAGAAGAACGCTTCTTCGCTTCCTACACTGGCTATGTCCCTGACCTCTACAAGCGATACATTGATGACTGCGTCGGTGCCACCACATGCTCCAACGACCAGCTTGAGCACTTCCTGCATCATTTCACCAACTTCCACCCGTCCCTCAAATATACGGTTAACATATCTTCCACTACTCTTCCGTTTCTAGACATCAACTTCTCCATCAGCTACCCCCGACTGTCCACTTCAGTTTATTACAAACCCACGGATTCACACAGCTACCTCCTGTATAGCTCATTTCAGCTAAATAGCATTTCGTTATACCATATACCATGTATATGAGTGTAATGACAATAAACTTGAAACTTGAAACTTGAACTTGAATCCTACCCAGAACCCAAGAGCTGAGGCAGTCAAGCCAAGATAACGTCCGTAAGCAATTATTACTGAGGAAAATAAAAAATTCGGACTTGTCATGTTCGAGTTTAACCAAATGGATGCGATTACGCCTAGTCCAGAAAATACCCGAGTACAACGTTAAATAAAACTTTTTAAAACTTTTTTTTTATCGTAACAACAATAATATATACAATACACACAACGTAGTATGCATTTGCGGTATCATATATACTGTATTATGCATTTAAGCATTTTTAAATGAGTTACATAAAAATACAGTTCGCATCGCTTTCATATTCTTACATTTAGAAAATCTGGAGATATTCCCTTATGTCTATTTTATACTGTTCAAATGTGGGGTCTCTTCCCAGACCACTTCATTTTATGTGCTGCACATAATAACAGCTTTGAAAAAAACGACTAAAGCGGTCGTCCAACTCCGTGAAAGTCATCTATTGTCCTGCTTCCGACTCGCATCAGCTGACTATAGTAGTTTTGCAAGGGAGAAAAATGGTAATCTTTCTGTTATTTTTACTGATTTTCTTAAAGAAATTAAGAAATCTGAAAGAAATTAATTGCGATCATCATAATATTAAGAGTAGATGCATTTAATCTATATATGATTATATGTGATCACCTAAAATAGATTTTTATGTGTCAATATTGTCAATATTTTTATTTCTCTTTTCTCTACAAAGAAGACTTTTGTAACTGACAATTGGAAATGTGATATTGATTCTCTTTCCTAGCGATTCCGATTTTGTGGAGACTTGGACTGCCCGGACTGGGTGCTGGCAGAAATCAGCACATTAGCGAAAATAGTTAAGTGGCAAGAATAGATTTTTGTTTTTATGATTGTATGTGTGATATTTTTGCTTGTGTTTTAGTTTGTATAGAAATGTTGTGGTGCAATTAGTTACCAACAGCTAAATTAAATTAAACATCTACACACGTCTTATAAAACGTACTCAGTATGTTAAGAGAGAATTATTTTTTTAAGAACCGGATTTCCCTTAATCATGCATTAAGAATAAAATAACACAAATCTTCAAATGTTGGTAGGTTAATGTTGCTTTAACGGTATAGTGTATTCGTTTATAACTAAATTTGCTAAATTTGTCCTAGTAATATACAGTATTACAGTATTCAAACCCAGCGCAGAATGGGTTTGAAAGTCCAGTTTGTGTCGTATACTAAGGCAAGGAATATTGTATATTCCAGTCTAGCGTGAAGATGAAACTGCTGTGTGTTCAAGTACTGAAGGACCTGCTCGGGGAAGGCATTGATGTGAGTATCAGCCCTTGTGGGAAGTTTCTGAAGAACACCAAAACACATCACGTAAAACCGAATACGCGTTGTGGTGTTTTTTTAATCATGTTTTTTTAACACACCGAAATGCCCTGTGTATACTTTAATTTGATGAATTATTCGTCTTTATGTTTAGATTTAGAACTCTTCTTTTACTCATGCCCCTATGAATTCCTTTTCTCAGAAAGCAGGCAGCACAAAGGATTGAAAATACTCTAGACACCTTGCTAATTCAATTTCTATACCCCTCCCCTCAGGAAAAAAACCTAGGACCATTAAGACCCAAATCTTTAGTTTCCTTAATAGTACTTACTGTAAGACTATCCAGATACTGAACAGCTTTCCAATTCCAATTATCATTATCTTATGATGACTATTTACAATGTAAATGGACTATAAACCCCTTTAATGCACTAGTTATTTCATTTTATTTTAATATTGTATGAGATTATTTCCTGTTACCTCATGGTTTTATGTTATGTTGTGTATAATGTTTTTGTTGTTATTGTTTTTATTGTCTTATTGTTTAACTGTTATGAGCACACTGAGGCAAATTCCTATCAAGTGGGTGTAACAAAAAATCTTGAATCTTGAATTAATGCAACCCCCCCCCCCAAACAAAATCCAGATTAAGACAGGCACATCAGTATACAGTACTAGACTGAATTCTCATTTTGTCCAGTCATGGTTAGAAGATTAAAACAAACTAAGATCTGGCTAATATACTAATGCGAGTAAACACCTTTTAACGTGAACACTTGCCTGACTTCCAGAATGAAAAGGCTGTTTTGTGTCTTCTGTTCTTTTTTATTCAGTATGATAAAGTTTCTAAACTGACTTCAGATGCCAAGTTTGGTAAGTGCTGTTTTGATTACTGTACGTTTGGGTAGTGATAGGTCTTTAAGACAGGAGGCCAGAGCAGTTAAAAGATCTATCCATCCATTTTTCTAGTAGCTTTACCCAATACAGACTTGCAGATGAACTGGAACCTATCTCAGCGAGCAGCGGGCGCTGGGAGGGGTATACCCTAGATGGGAGACCAGTCCATCACAAGACACATATGCACAGTCACACCAGGGCCATTTTCCCCAGAAGTGACTTCACCTCCCAGTGTTTTTTTGGACTGTGGAAAGAAACCGAAAACCCATGTGGTCAAAGGGAGAACATACCAACTCCACACAGATAGCAAACCAGGAACTGAACCCCGGATCCCATCACTGTGAGGTAGCAAGGCTAATAACTGTGTGATCGTGCCTCCCACAGAAGTTTGTTACTTTCAACTTGTCTTGCTTAAATCTGCATTCTTGATTTTCTTCATGTTTATATTTGGAAACATTATTAACATGTTATACATGCCAGCACTATCTGTGACCCATAAACTCCTCGTAACTGAAAGATTCCGTGAATACATTTCTCAGTTATTTGTTCTTGCATACCTGAAATTCACAATAGTGGCAGCATTTGACAAGGTCTTGTAGGAGCTCATTCATGTAGGGCTGAAGCCAGTCATACACAACTTCTGCCTTTCAGGACCTGTGTCCCACCTTCTCTCTAAAGGTTAGGTGTACAACTCCAGTCCTTGAAGGCTGGAATCCAGCAGGGTTTCAAGGCTCTTTCAATGAAAGCTGAAAACCTTTGAAACATGTTAAGGAGGGCCAATTGAAATCACGATTAGCTCCATTATGTCATTAAGTCCAGATGTGGATTGAAAACCTGGAGATGCTGTGGCACTCCAGGGCTGGAGTTGTGCACCACTGGAAGAGAACAAGTAACAGTACCAACCTCCTGTGGTCAACATGACGGTGCAGCAGGTAGGGCTGCTGCCTCACAGCTCCCGGGTCCCGAGTTTCATTCCAGGCTCAGTCACCTTGGCTGTGTTCACATGGGTTTTTGCCAATTGCAGAGCTTTCCTCCAACCTCCCAAAGACATGCCAGCTAAGTGTTAGGTGATAAGGTGTTGTCCTTATCTTCCTCTGGGCCTGGATTAAACCAGGGATAGAGCAGAATCTCGTAACCCGGCTCTGTGCTTCCAGTGTAGACTCTGACTTACCACAACCCTCAACAGAATATGAAGCCTATTGATAATGGCTTGATTATCACTTGTATTTGTTGGTATAACATTTATCATCTTCTCACGTCTTCAGTAGTAAGCACATGAAAGGTACTTGTTTCAGTGTTGGCCCTGACATCCATTCATAAGAGTTGCAGACCGACCTGGAGTTAAAGAATGAGCTGTTTTTTGATCCCCGTGATGATGCCTGTTTGTGTCCTTGTCTCAGAGAGTGGGGATATAAAAGCCAGCGTTGCGGTTCTGAGTTTCATCCTCTCCAGTGCTGCTAAGCATAACGTAGACAGTGAGTCCCTCTCCAGTGAGCTGCAACAGCTTGGGCTTCCTAAAGGTACAGTATGAGCTCTGTGAGCCTATTGAAATGCACCTTAACCGAGCAGCAGGCGTTAGTGGTTTTGCTTTTACTTAATTTCCTGGTGGGTGGGTGTTTTATTCTGAGTTATTTCTTAACTTTCTACTCAGATCTGTACTTCTATGCATTCCAGCAAAAACAGTTCCTCACTGTACTTTTAAATTAGAGAAACGGACAAGGGTGAATATATTAATCCTCGTTAGCAACTCTCTACCAGTATGAAAGACAGACAAAAGTGATCGTTAAATTCCTTTTGTCAAACTCCTGATAAAACGAGCAATCGATTCCACTTAAAAATCACGGAAACAATATTATAGTACTTTTTATATTTTATATATAGAGTGATGTTGAAAGAAATTACAGACAGGAGATAAATCATTTATATAATTTGAGTCAGGATAATTCACTGTTTTTAAACACAAACAAAACAAATGAAATGATGATTGTTTTTAGGAAGAAATGTTCTATTTTTGTGATATCTGTAACTCTTAATGGATCTGATATTGAAACAGTAATTCTTAAATAAATAAATACCATGGCACTATTATCGATTGTAAATTGACATGGACCATCAATATGAAGGAAAGGTATGTGCTGAAGGCACGGCAAATGTATTTTATAAGGAAGTTAAGAAATTGTAATGTAGAGAGCACAATGTTGACACTTTTTATAGGATTTTTATTCAGAGCATCATAATGTTTTGTATTCAGAAACTGGGGAGGTGCTTTGTCCTGGTGGAACAAAAATAAGTTGAACAAAAATATATAGTAGCACATCTTTGGACTAAATAAAATGTCTAACGGACAAACATTATTAATCTTGCAGAGAAAATCTTACAGTAGATGACCCCTCTCATCCACTCTTTTTAGAATACACTCTCCTACCTTCTTGAAGGAGTTACCAAATCCCCTGTCTAAAGAATAAAGATTTACTTTCTCTATACCTAAAAGCATTCAAGTGTTGCACAATGAAAAAATTATGAGTGTTGTTGTTTTTAGACCCTTTATAAGCTAACTATTTTTTAATCTTTTTTTGTCTTGCTAAGTATCATGGTATTGTACCATTGTTGGATTGTATTATCGTCTTATACAGTATGTTATATGTTTATGAGCTCTTGATGTGCAAGGCAACTCCCCTCAGGGGCAATGAAGGTTTATAATATTAATAATATATTCATTCAGGACATTGCAGAGTCGAGCTTTGAATATGTCTGCTGTTGCAAACATTGTCAGCGGTTTCAAACATGAAAAGGTAATAATTATTTTGGGCGCTCTAGTATTTAGCTAAATAAATGTAAAAATGCAATGGTAAATTGCTCACTTGTGAACTCTTGAGGGTAAGTACACCCACTCATTTACAGAAAACATGTTTTTAATATTTTGTAAAGTTTCAGAACCAGGTGTCTGTCTTTGTGATGGAGTGGATATGCTCACTGCTCCTCATGCAGAGTTCCCTGTGTCCCTGTCTAGAGCACACAACTGGACTGTGTAAGTCATATGAAGACAAGCACTCCGCCCTGCAGGTGAAACTGAGGGAGAGCAGTCTGCGATGTGAGTAGTGAACTTAATTGTGGCCATGGAATAGATTGCACGGCTTGTAAAACTGTTTCATCTAGTGCTTGTATGGTCTTGCTTGACCTGCTGCATACAAACAGGACGCAGTTGTTGCTGTTTCTTCAGTGAGTGGTGTTCTGGGAGACACCTGAAAGAAGGTTAAACTCTGCAATTGTGCATTCTAGCTTGTTCTAAAAAGATCTGTACCATTATCTGCAATGAATCTGAAGTTCACTCAAACAAAGATGTGGTTTCCGGGATTATGTTGAGTGGGTGAAGTAATGTATTTAAAGTTAGGATTCCGATGGATGTTCTGTGTGTGGTTAAACATTTGCAGCAGCAGATGTACTGTATCTGCCTGGGAACTGCTTGCACATTACACAGATGTCTGCCTGCCTGTTGTGCTGATAATGAGGCTGAAGCACGGACTCTGTCTGTGTTTTTCAGTGAGCCGTTTGGAGTCAGTGTCTTGGAGGGTGGACTACACTCTGAGCTCCAGCGAGCTGAGGGAGGTGAATGAACCCACAGTACTGCTCAAGCTCCAGGTGCAGGGTGCCGAGTCAGGAGTAACAGAGACCAGCATGATCTCACTCACTGCAGAAAAATTCCGCGTCCTGCTCACAGGTGAGTGAATACCTGTGAGCACTCTCATCCTTCTAGAGATGTGTCCAGTTCCTGAATGCAATTATAGGCATCTTCAAAAAGGGAAAATAGTACGTATTAAATAAGTCTTGTGTATTACTAAGCAAAACCTCTAGATTTGTTTAAGAGGTTAGGAATATAATACTTTATTTTTTTAGCTTTAATTGGGGAATGCATTTGTCTAAGCTCAGAAATGAGTGATTTTCATTATTATTGTAAAATATTATTGAATGAAATACAGTTCTCACCTGTGTTCAATTTCTTTAATTGCTGTCATAATTTATAGATCACTCTCATCAGTTTTCCTTCAGCTGATTCCTGAAAAATTCATGATCTTCTTTGTCCTCTTTTTCAGAGCTCAAGCAAGCACAGGCAGTGATGAATTCCCTAAACTGAAGAAAAGCTGTGATTTTGTTTTTTTACCCTTGTCATATTAGGATTTTACATGTGTGTATATTATACACATAAACAGCCACTCTCATAATTATCCTTCTGTGCTTTCTCATTCTGTGTGAATGGCTGTGCAATGTGATTTGTACCCTGAACAATACATAACTTATAGAACTTATAACAACAGCTGTACAAACAATACTGTTGTATAATTGTGCATTCATGTGTATTGGGAGTGATTGGGTCATTTAGTTCCTTTTCCAATATGAGATTAATTTTTACACTGAGAGAATTAATTTGTGTACGTCTTAATAGATGTTCAAAAGTACCATAAAATGTATGTGTACAAAAGAATTGTAGCGTTGCAATCCTTAAATGTTACTTCTGCAGGTGATACTCTGTCATTGAGCACGTTTTTGTGTTACTGTGGAGAAATGTGTAAAATAAACCGCCTTCTGTTGGACCAAAATTAAAAGATAAATGACAAATCATCGCACAGTGTTTCCATGTAAATTCCTTTGGTGACAAAAGTTAATAATTGTTTCTGTAACAATGGAGCTTGTGATACATAACCTGAATTGTTTTTATTTTAAATGTTAGTGATTATGATTTAAAAAAACTGTAAATGAAAATATTAAGGCAAATCTTTTGGTCATAAATTCAGGTTTAAAGTTTTAAGATTAAAAAATCGGGTTCTAGGGCTTGTGCCCTCGCCACTCCCACCCTAGTTAGTGCCTCACTGCATGGGCTCGAACCCGCGTCTTGCCAGCTGAGCTAAAGAACACTAGGGTGGGAGCGGCGAGGGCACAAGCCCTAGAACCCGAATCTGTTACAATAACAAAAGGACAGACGATTAAATATGGGCTAATTCCACGTCGCAATTCTGAGATACTAAGTCAGCGCGTTTTTTTAACTCCCTGGCGGAAACGGGCTTCCATATTATATTGTAACGCATGCGGCCTCCATTGCTGGCTGGGTCCCTGTTGAGTGACGCTGCAGGCTCGGGTTCGAGTCCCCGACGGTGGGGGGCCGACCTGATGCGGCAGCGGCGAGGGATGTGGGATGGGATAGCCCTTCACCGAGGACGGCGAGTTAAGCGGGGGAGAGTTTTTTTTATATCATCACTTTATTAACCCTTTACAATTTCTTGCATTAGGAATTATCTTTTCGCATACCCCAGCTTGCTCTCCATGAGACACACAGATAGGGAGAGAAGCCCGGGATCAGAACACAGGGTCAGCCATTGTACAGCACCCCTGGAGCAGTTGGGGTGAAGGACCTCAGGGGAGCTCAGGGGCCCAACGGAGTAGGATTCCTCTGCCGGCTGCGGGATTTGAACCGGCAACCTTCCAGCCACAGGCGCAGATCCTTGCCTCCGTTGCTTGCGAGAGCTGACGTCACCGCCCTTCCCTGTGAACAGCAGGGACCGCAGTTGACGGGAGATTTCCCTTTGGCTCAAGAGGCTGGGTCCCTGTTGAGTGACGCCGGAGGCCCGGGTTCGAGTCCCCGACGGTGGGGGCGCCCACATGAACCCCGGAGAGCTACAATATCATACTGAATCCAAAGCCCGAAATCATTTGCACTAGACTACATTTCCCATCAGCCCCCATCAAAACAATTTCGCGTCCCCCCTGTTATCCAATAGGAGCTGAAGCTGAGCTCTGTTTGTAACTCGGACACGGGTCGTTTCGTTTCTGCTACAGGTAATTTACACAGAAAAAAATACTCCGACTATTTAGAGTATCTGCGTGCCTAATGTCTATCGTGCATTTCATAATTCAATCAAGTAGTAGGATGTGTTTAAATCCATACGTTCTGGTAGAAACGATGATGCCGTCTTTGTGTTACAGTTTTGTAACAAGGTGAGGTTGACATCTGTGCGTTGTTGCACGGGGAGGAAACCTTTCACAACTTTATGGATCAAAACAGCAACATGAGGGACACGAAATAACTCTTCACTAGCAATAACTCAATTCAATTTATTTTTATATAGTGCAATAACCTGCACTTGGTCAGACTGGCTTCTTGTGCAACATAGCGTTCGTTGCCGGAATAACCAAACTAAACTACTTTGCGAACTTTAAATGAGTCTCAATTGTTCGCATGTTACTAAAATGAAATTTTTAATTGTTTAATATCAGAGTTGCGTTATCTGCGAAAAATAAACGGAAACGGATTTTTTTTTAACCGATTGCCCGCTAATTTATCCATCCGTGGCATGCAAATCTCTACCGGTTGTTTTCCAGTTTGTAAGTTAATGGCGGTACCATCTTCACACATTAGCGGCTGTGGTTTGATTTATAAGCGAAGACCACAAGTGCGTGCACCGAGTAAGAAAGAATGTAAAGTTGGTGTTCACATCCTCCTCTGTGGAAGGCAGAGTTTGTATTCCTTGTCGTTGTATTCAAAATAATCGTTAGTTTAGAGGGAAGCAAACTAAAGTGCTTGTTTTATCGGATGGAGCACAATCAGTGCAGAACTAGTAGGCTGTCAGTGCAGAAGTTGCACATGATTTAAGATGTACCCCTCCCAGAAAACACGCTGGTTGCCATGATAAGACTGAGCATCCACTGTAGACTAGGAAGATACAATATTTCAACAAGCGTGTATTTTGAACAGCAGCACTCTTTAATGAAAGGGGTCTGTCAAAAGGTAAATGAGAGCAAACTGTAAACAGACCACGTGGTGCAGTGGTCTGCATTGCTGTCTCACAGCCCTGGGTTCAATTCCCAGGATGCTGTCTGTGTGGAGTTTGTATGTTCTCCCTGTGTTTGCTCTGGTTTGCCCCACAGTCTAAAGACCTACTGCTAGGCTAAGTGGCTTCTGGAAAATTGGCCCAGGTGTGAGTGTGTGTGTCTGTGTGCTCTGGACTGGTGTCCTGTCCATGGTGTATCCTGCCTTGTGCCTGTTGCTTGCTGGGATAGGCTCTGGCTCCCCCGCGATCGTATATTGGATACAGCGGTTAGAAAACAGACCAAATTCTGTAATGTTCACAGCATCTTCACTTTTGTTTTCTAAAAGCCTTTCTGAAATTGAGTACATAGTGAGTATTCTCTCCTTTGAGCTTCTGCCAAAACACTGGCACTGATGAGCCTCTTAGGAACCAAAACATCTCTGCTGTTCTTTGCATGTGTTCCCCCAGCTGCCCCTCCTGCGCCCCGAGATGCCCGAGGGCCCCGAGCTGCACATGGCCAGCCAGTTCGTGAACCGGGTGTGTGGGGGCGTGGTGTTCTCGGGGGCGGTGGAGAAGTCGGAGGTCAGCAAGAACCCCGAGGTGCCCTTCGCCTGCACTGCCTACCGCATCTCGGCCGTCTCCCGGGGGAAGGAGGTGCGGCTCACCTTGACGCCCATCAAGGACGAGGGCGCCGAGGGGGGGGGCGGCAAGCCCATGGATATTGTTTTCCGGTTCGGAATGTCGGGATTCTTCCGTTACACGGCGCAGGACGAGCTGCCAAAGCATGCCCATCTGCGCTTCTACACCAAGGAAAAACCAGGGAAGGTGCTGTCCTTTGTGGATATCAGAAGGTTTGGCAGCTGGGAGCCCAATGGGACCTGGCAGGCGGAGAGGGGTCCCTGCGTCATGTTTGAGTACCAGAGCTTCAGGTATGACGCAGCCTGCAGACCTCTCTCTCCTCTTACAAAGTCCTGCTGCGGCCTGGTGCCATAGGGGGATCTTCTGTGTGGGTTTCCGAAGTAAATAAATGTGGCAGAGTATTTACTGTGCAGTATCAGCTCGATAATGATTTTCTGTTTACCCTTAATGAGTTTTATTTTTTTGCTGGAGGTGTTAGTTTGTACATCAGGTTATTGTAAATAAGTGGGGAATTGTAAATAAACAAAAAAATGCACGTTCAACTGACAAGACGTGAAAAACAAAGGAAACCTCATTTCAATTCTAGGTTTCGGGAAACTGCATTCTGCTTGTGATTGACGATAGTCAGTTGTACATAGAGAACATTTTCAGGTGCTGAGAGCTGGAAAGATGACAGTTAAGAGGGTGTCTTCACAAAGTGCCTGTTGTATGTGGGAGTGTTGTGGTCCTGCTGTACGGTAATAGAGAGGGGAAAGAATGGGAAGCAGTAATGTTGTCTAGGTAGTATTTTTAAAGTATTTTAAAGATATATTTTATTTTAATCTGTTTGTGTTTTACATTGTCTGAAGCATAAACAACAGGCTGTTTAATGTCATTTTCTCATTTCATGAGATACCACAGCTTCTAAAAGCAACTTTTTTGGGCTAAACAGGCCAGAATAGGAGCACAATGAAAGTCCTTCTCTCCCTGTAGGGACAACGTGTTGTCGAACCTCTCAGACCGTGCGTTTGACAAGCCCATCTGTGAAGCCTTACTGAACCAGAAATACTTCAATGGGATTGGGAACTACTTGCGAGCAGAAATCCTGTACAGGTGAGCCAGACTCAGAATTCCTGCCTTCCATACAATAAATAATGCTTCTGTTCTTCAAATATGCTTTCCATTTTGCTGGTTTTTCAAATCTATTTAAAGAATTAATATTCTGTTTTTAAGAAGAAGTGTAAAAGTGTACTTCTGAAGCTTTTTTATGTATTGTTCAAATTTTCAAAAGAACTAATGCCCTTCCCTTTTTCCTATTCTGTGAGATTTCCAAAAAGCAATCCTAGAAAACTCCCAAGAATTTATAACAATATCTGAATATCAGAATATCTGTATCTGAGAAACACAATGAAATATTAGCACACAGTGAATGGTATTCAAGAAACTATTGACATGACTTGTACAACTCCTGACTTTGGTCCTTGATGACCTGCAACAGCGAAGTTTTGGATTTCTGAACAGCATGGGACAGTATTCACTGTAAGCCTTTCATCTTCTTAACATTCCAGAACTCTTTGAACTGCTAAAAGAAGCGGGGGATGTTTATTACTTGCAAGGGCACAGCCCATACCAAGCTGTTAACTCTTATTACTGTTCTGTTAATGTCAAACGTTAGAGAGAATTTCTAAATGGAATCTGCTTACCCCTAAACAAAATACTAACCAACTTTTAGTTCAAATAAAAAGCTGCAGTTTTGGAAGTAAGAACTCAAATCTACAACCCCTGTGTCCTTAATTTAACATTCTGCGTGTCTGATGCCCACCCAGGTTAAAGATCCCCCCCTTTGTGAAGGCGCGGACTGTCCTGGAGGGACTGCTGCCGAGGGACTATGCTGAGCTGGATGTGAAGCCTGTCAAAGGAGGGTGTGCATCCCCTCAGGTGAGGACACTTCAGCTCACGTTTCAAACAAAACCACATCGAACCTTGCTGCTCTAGTTCCTCTGTTCCCTGTCTTGTGTTCCAGAGCCCAGAGATAAGTCTGAGCAAGAAGGTGAAGCTGAAAAGGGAGAGCCCAGACCTCCTCAACCTGTGCCACACCGTGCCTCTGGAAGTCATTCAGATAGGTACAGTTGCCGCAGTGGTCCCTTCTCTGTTATGACAGCTAGTCATCGTTCTTCATGTAAAAAGTATCCTCAAGACCATTACTGAAGGGGTTTGACTCAATAATACTTTGTGACAGTAGCTCATTCATAATAATGTAATGTTAATAATAATGTTTCTTTATTAGCCCTATACAATTTCTTGCATTAGGAATGCGACTTTTCACATACCCCAGCTTTTCTCCAGGGAGACACAGACACACAGACAGGGAGAGAAGCTTGGGGTCAGAGCGCAGGGTCAGCCATTGTACGGCGCCCCTGGAGCAGTTGGGGTTAAGGGCCTTGCTCAGGGGCCCAACGGAGTAGGATTCCTCTGCCGGCCGCGGGATTTGAACCGGCAACCTTCCGGTCACAGGCGCAGATCCTGAGCCACAGAGCCACCGCTCCGCCCATGAAGAGATGTGCTCAACTCAGCTGGAGTTGTTTGTGGGAAACCCAAAAAGGAAGGCAGGGTTGCACATGGCCCCGTGTGGAACTGTATGACATTTCTTTATTCTGTAATGTATTTCCTAGTCCACTTACTGTATGAGTAGACCAGCTAAGGTTATAAACACTTTCTGCATTTCTGCGATCATTACACCCAGCGATGGCAGTGTTTCCCTGAGAGACTGACCACTGTCTGTGTCCTGTCTCAGGGGGAAAGGGGTATGACCCAGAGAAAGCAGATTACTCTGACTTTGAGGCGTGGCTCCAGTGTTACTACGTCTCAGGAATGAAGTCCCTGAGGGATCACAATGGCAGGACAATGTGGTTCCAGGTGAGAAGACCAGGAGTGCTGATAAATGAACCAAATGCAATTTTTGTATTTTGTATTGCTTAGACACAGAGTCTGTACTTACAAAACATGTTAATGTTTTTTTTTCCTAATTACTTAGTTGTGGTATTGCATTATCATGCTCTCTGTATTTGACCAAAAGGCTAACATCTGGGATTTTATTTCCTTTGTTAAAAAAAATACGAAAAGAGGACAACAGTCTGTAAAAACTAATAATGACCTTTAATGATTTTTCTCAGGCTTTAGAAGTGGGCAGCTCAAGAATGTATTTTTGTAGGCCTTTGCTTAGACATACAGTGCTGTGAAAAGAAACACTCAATCTGTTCTAATTGCTGTTTTACCACATTTTAATTTTAGGGAGATCCTGGTCCCATGGCACCCAAAGGTAATAAACATTTGGATTCGATCTGTGCAACACAGAGGAGTGGGAAGGAGACAACATCAGTTTCAAATCTTATATAGTGAGCAGTAAAAGAAGCATCTCTCTGTTTATTCCGGCACATTTCAAGAAAGAAATATACAGGTTTTGGTTATTGATTGATTTTGGCATCATTTGATTAAATGGTCATTCAAGACTTGCATAAGCACTAAATCACCTCATTAGTGTGAGAGGTGAATGATTATAGGTGATGAAGTCATGTCGAACCTGATGAAAATCAAGAAGGGACAGAAAGGAATTTACATTCTACATATGGAGAGCACAACACCTTGTACTGATGTTATAGTGAAGTAGCATTAAGTCAGCTCACTGTTGCTCTCTGTCTGGGTTGTTCACGGCCAGAAGTTTCTAACCTAGTAAGAATCAACAGCCGAAGACAATCTGTTAGATGGACAGAAAAGACAGTCAATAACAAGACATTATCTGGGAGACAAAGAGTCATACCACATGAAAATCAATATGGAGGTCCAAGTCTTATTGATAGTCTAGTTACTATAGAACTCAACTTGCAACTTGAGTGCGATTTTTTTAATCATGTTATCGTTTCTAAAGCTATTCCAGCTATTACTAGCTAATGGTAATCTAGCTTCAGTCAGTCTGAAGTGATATTGTACACAAATTATTTTTTCTAGGTGGCTACTTATAAAAAGAACAAAATCTAAGCAACTGTATTGACTGTTCTTTCCCTTAGCCTCCAAATCTCCCAAAGCCAAGAAGAGAGCTAAGAAAACAGGAGATGGCGAGAATGATGCACAGGTGAGCTGCAGAGGCAGATGGTGCACTTCTTATTTGTTGGTTCTCGTCCTGTCAATTAGGAATGGGTAAATGATGTTTAGTGTCCCCTGGGTCTCGGCCCTAATGCCCCCTGCTTTTCCAGGTGGTCCAAGAGAAGGAGCCAGCCAAGAAGGTCAAAGAGGAAAAGGAGTCGAAGAGGAAGCAGAGGAGGAAGGGGAAAGAGGTCCAGAGTGATCGGGGAACGCCCTCACCAGTGCCGAAGAGGAAGATGAGTCAGAGCAGGAAGACTCCCACAGCTGGGCAGGCAGGTGAGAAAGTGAGCCAGACGGTTCGTGTCAGCGGGCCTTGCCCTTTGAAGCTGGCCGGAGCACGACAGAACGCTCTTTGTGGGAAAAGACTGTGTAGAACCTCTTGTTTTTCGGGCTTCTGTGTTTCCAGTGGGACGTACAGCCTTCGGGACCTGAAGTGTGGGTGTTTAGGGAGGAGCCGTGTGATGTTAATTTTTTATCCCGCGATATCTCTGCTCCTCAGTGAATCGGTCGACTGTTGTGTTGATTATGCCTCAGTCCCTAAGAGGTTTTGGGGGGAGAGGGATTTTAAGATAATTCAGTGTTTTAGAAGTTATTTCCATCTGAAACGCTTCCTGTGCTAAGTTCAGTAGATGTACATTTTTACAGCATACCTGTTTGTGTTTTTTTATTTTGATTAATTTGAGTTTTCATTTATTTCTAGTTTCAAAGAAGCGAATCAGAAAGTCGTCCCGAGCCAGTGCTAAACAAACCAGCTAAACCAGTCCAAGGGACAAGAGGTCCGAGTGACTCAAGTGAGCTACCGCCAGAGCTACTATAATGGAAGCTTTTTTAACGCTGGATATTTTTAATAAAATTGGTATTTTAAAATTGATAAAATTTGAAGCAAACATTAATAAAAAAAAGTATATTTTTATTCTGGGTGGTTCCTTTTTGTGCTGAATTTTACTGGAAATGTATATTGCACATGTTCAATCAATTTACTCATATTAATAGTCAGTATTACAGTTTAATTAAGAATTCATTAAAATAATTTGTTTAGAACATTAAGTAAGAAGGGAAGGACCTTTCTGAAGAGCCCCCATAAATGTACTACCTAGCATATTTGGAAATAATTAGAAAATACAATTGTCTTTTTACATACATTATAATATTACAAACCATTTAAAAGATTGACAACTCTATTATTACTTAAGGTTTTCTTAAACTTGTTTATTTAAACATTTTTATACAGCATATTGAATTTAAAAAAAGTTTTTCTTTAATAATGTATCATTTTTAAATGATAAGAATTCCATTGTACCAGTACCGGTTACATATGGCAATAAAGTTCAAGTTCAAGTTCATTTTTTCTTGTCCACTACCTTGTCACAGTTTGCACCTCTAAAATTGTGATTGAATCACATGATCTGGGAAAATACTCCTGAGGTTCTGCACTGTTAAATCATAAAGGCCCCTAATTTATATGATTCAGCTATCCCCAACATTGGAATTACAAATCAAGTTTCTAAAGAGAATCCTGTCTGGATACAGGTCAGATATACAGTACACGTTCGCACTGTTTTTTTTCAGTGAATGAGGTGTTTAGGCCAGGTGTGAGGGACAATGGAAAAACACATGCTTTCTGGTGGTTTGTAGATAGAAGGGAGCTGGGCAAGAGGCTGCGCTTCTGTCACTGGTGGCACCTCTGAGGGGTTCACTTGAGAACGAGCAGAAGAGAGACAATCTGGAAGGGGGTGAAGCTGAGCGAGATCCCCGAGGGCATGACTGCAGCAGGGCGAGCCGAATCGGGACGCTCGAGCAGGTCACAGCTGTGGGGTGAGAGACACCAGAAAGCAGTTAGACAAAAGAGAGTTATCTCCAAGAGCTCAGTTCCTGCACTGGTATCTGTTCCAAGCCGGGCACTCAACTGCAAAGGAATAAAGAATTATTTTCTGAAAAATAGAAATGATTTTTGGTACAGTTCAGTAATCAAAAGTACACTCACTTCATTAAAAGTAGCCGATCCCATCACAAAATAAATGCTGAAAGTTGAAAACCAAGATCCAAAAAATCCAGCCATTTCTTTTAATTCCCTTCCACTGAACTGTGCTGTCAGCAGAACTATGAAGAGCGGCCGTCAACGTAATTAAATTCACTTATTTTCATTCCACAACGGACTTCTTTTAGAATAACAGGAAAGTTAAATAAATGATAATAATACGCCCACGGTTTCAAAAGAGCTTTAGTAATTCCCCTGATGGACAAACACAGCTGATTAGGGTAGGAAAAATAAGAATGGGCTTGAGAGTTTTGGGGATGGAGGCGCACTCACAGCAAAGCCTCTTTCACCGGCAGAGCGGTAGTGAGGGTCACGGTAACACTGCTGCCATGGGACTCGAACAGGCGCAGCAGCAGGGCGTCTTTCTGATCTTCCGCCTGGTGGAGAGAGACGGGAGCAAGGTCAACAGGAAAGCGCAGCTGGGAGAGTCGGCATTTATCACAACTGAAACATTTACTGCACTCAGAAGAGTGAAGTTAGGCAAGCAACAGCTAACGTGCCCCTCGGACTGCTGAGAGCCCTTTGAAAAGCTCTGCATTACTGTAAAACGTTCTAAGCCTTCAGCTGGAGGTTTCTCCAGTGAGCAGAGTGAGGTCTGACTTGTTGTTTCCAGCTCCCTTCATAGAGGTACCTGTTTTACTGTCTCTAAGATAACGGCAGGAGAGCTCAAGGAAAAAGCACTCCAGGAGCTGCTGGCAGGGTCACTTATCACCATGGGGATCACACGCAGGGGCAGGTTGAGGTTGTAAGCACACTGAATGACTCCTGAGTCTTGGAAGGAACCTGGAAGTCAGAAAAAGGAAAAAACATTGTTCTGAAAGTAGATTCAATTAAGGAAAAGTGTACCCTCCCCTCATTTCCTCAGTTTTGTCGTCTTGTTTGTCCTACTTTTAACGAGCCTTATTTGCTCTGGGACAATTTGCTATGTTTTATTCTTTGAAGATGGCAGGTGAGGAGCTAAAGTGAAGGAAACCTGTCTTTTCAATGATAAAATGGTGGCAATATACTGTACGCACATGAAGTTCACTGACTTCAAAACCCAAAGTTCTTTGGTAAGACCTACCAGCGTGCGGCATTACTGCGTAAGTGAACTGGTGCTGACCCATGTCAGCATTGGCATCTGGAGCTTTTGGGGCACGAAGGCTGAAGTAAAGGGGAGATAAAATAGAGATACATTAAGGGAAATGCATTCCTTTTTTTTTTTACAGAGCAGAACGGAACAGCCAAGTCTATTTTTATTACACACTCAAACTATTTGGAATCGCCAATCGTTTCTGAAGACCTGGCTTTCCGGCAAAGTAAGCTGCAGCCCAGGGCTGTCCAATCCTTGTCACAGAGGGCCGGTGTGTCTGCACGTTTCCTAGGTCTCTTTGAAGCTGCAGCACATAATGATTAGGGAGAAGCTGTAAAATTAGTCCAGTTAAGCCAGTAACCAGCAGATTTTGCTTATTAAGAAATTAGTTGGAATGAAAACCCAAAGATACACTGGCCTTCAATACCCCTGCTGTAGCTGCTCAGGAGGGAATGAGAGACATAGATGTGTGTCTCCAACATGCTCACCTCCAGAGTATATCATTGTGATGTTGCAAAGTCTCCACAGTGTCTGATAGGAGGGTAAGTACAGACTGAAGTAACAGCCCTTCGCTCACTGAAGTCACTGCAAGTCTACAGTCGCCCACAGGAGCAGCTGTTTGCCAGGAGGCTGAAAGCCCCTAGCCAACTAATCTGAACATTGTTTCAGCACTTGGGAAATGTCTGTCAGTTTTGGCTGGAGACATGACCCAGGCTTGTACTGCATGTCATGCAAGTGCCTTTACTGGATAAGCCACTACATTTTTTTTAAAATTATTCACAAGGTCTTGTCTGTTCTCCATTATTGGGGGTACTCATTGGATGTGTGAGTGTAGGCATTTGTAATCAACATTCTAACACAGCAATGATGCTTTCCTTAGCCTAAAGCCCAAACTGCATTTGAGAAACCAAAACAAAAATACTCAAGATACTGAAATGGATTGATTTATCCTTTATCACAAGAAAAAGAATTAATTACCAACGACATCATCCCCAGTTTATGTGCGTTATCATGCACTGCGACCATGGAGCAAAGACACAGAGACACTCACAGAGACAAGGTGAGGGTGTTCCTGTAAACCGAATAGCCGTATTTACAGTCGTTAAGCAGCGCAACACCAAAGCCGTGTTCGGACAGGTCTGCCCATTTGTGTCCCCAAACCTGTGAAACAACAAATTTGAGAGATTAAGACCAAGAGGGAGTTTTTAATTGTACAGTTTAAGTTACAATATCTTTTTCGACACGGACACAATCCTTTTGAATCCCTGGAATCCTTATCTTTTTAATTGTATTTCTATTGCTGCTTATATTGAAGAAAAACAGTTCAGGTGTCGAATTTCTTCATTGCACAGTGGTAGCACAAAATGTTTTACAGTACTTAGCATACATCCTCCAGCTGTCCTATCTTTTACCTCAAATCTGGCCCAGTCCCAGGATGTGTTGCGGTGAGTGGGCCTCTGCAGGTGGCCAAACTGAATTTCATAGGTGGCACTGGGGCTGCGCACCCTGACAGGAAACTCCACCTTCAGGAACTTGTGAGATTCGGCCCAGTCAACCTGAGGAGAGACGCACCTCATGTCAGACAAAGGCATCAGGGCATGAACAACTTTGTAAGCAATTAGCAAGGTTGGACATACTGTAAATCTGACCTTCTCTGGGCATGGGATTTTGACATGTTCCCCAAACCAAAAAGTATGAGTGGGAAACAATCAAGACCATTGATCAAAGCTCTTGCAAGTGTATGAGATTCAAGAATGCTTGTTTACAACTGTTGATGCGACCGACACAGTTTCAGGATGCAATTATGGTGTGGTGCACCGCGACATCCAGGCCACATAGTTTTAGAAAACAAAAGTTCAGAAAGAGGCCAAAAACCACTCATCCTAACCTGACTTGAGCCCCAAAATCCAGCGCTGACCTTAAAAATGGCCTAAGTAGTTTGTGAATGCTAACCCTAACCCTACCTGGGGTGTCAAGTGAGCCATTCCGCGATCTACTGTATGTATAATTTATAACACAGGGCTTTGAGGGTACTGGAAATACGTAATCCTGCTCATAATCTGTTCTTATAGGCAGTAGGTTAGGTCCCCTTTTCAGGTCATAGAGGCCCATGGGGGAATGGGGGGCAAGGGCCACCATTGTTCTCAACCATCCGACACTGGAGGTGGAGGTGATGTGGTCAGCATCACGTTCCGGCCGGCCTGTTACCCCCGAAGGGTTAAACCCCGGTACTCATTTGGAAAGCAGGCTGAGAGGACCTGGGAGCCGCCTGGAAGGAATTAGAACTACCTCACTTGCCCCTACCTGGGATTGAACCCGGGACCTTCCAGTCAGGAGCTAGACGCCCTTGCTGTCTGAGCTACCACAGTGCCGACCATTAATCTTAAGCAATTAAATAACATGGTAAACTGGCTACTCTAAGGACTAACACTGACAAGAACTGATACATATTGAGAGGTAATAAAAACACAACAATATGTACTGCAAAAACAGCATGTGGTGTGTTTTTAAAACCTTTTAATATATAATCGAGTATCGAGTTGTAATCCAATGGCAAATCTTACCCTCAGATGGACTTCCCGGTAGCATTTGCTCAAGCATGAATGGCAAGGACAACAAAACCAACCAAGACAACTCACTGGCACTGAATTTTTTAGCATCCTCAAAATCCACAGACTTCTTAGCCAGGCGTCTCTGACGTGTGCTTTGTTCATACCTGAGTGTGGAACTTGACACAAGGGCACATGGCATCGAGGATGACCTCCTGGGAAATGGAGCTCTTGCTGCTTATCCTCAGAGAGAACTTCACGCTGCCTCTCAGCCCACCAGAACACGCAATCTCAGCTGGGCGCAGGACCTCACGCACTGGCGTCCTGCCGGGCACACACAACTGAGGGTAACTCTTCAGACCAAGAGCTGCAGACTTCCAGAGATTCCCAAGTCAAAGGAAAGACATTTTGCTACAAGGGCTTACAAATTAAAGTGACTGAAAATTTACCTGCAGCTAGATGAGTAGTGTTAGGACCTGATTTTTGGGATTTAATCTAGATGCCTAAACATGCTTTTCTTTGGATCACAGATAGATGCTCCTACCTGGTCTGAAGGTGATAGTCCATCACATCCCAGGCATCCCAGTATAGAGGAACATCATCAAACAGAACAAACTGGTTCCCACTGAAGCCATCAGCAATGGCTTCTCTACAATGCAAAACAGAAGCAGGACATTAGCTCTCTTCCTCGGAGCAGGTATGCTATTCTTCTGAAGGAAAACCCCTTTACTGCTTTAGGATAGGACAACAGGATAAGTGAAGGCAAGGATTTCTCATATAAAGGCCTAGGAAAGAGAATTCAAACGTACGAAGGAAGCCCTCACCTGTTTGATTTAACAAGACAGAGAGACGCCACATTTCCTGCCTTGTCCACAACAACTCGTAGAATCCCATTCTCCATAAGAATTGAACCATCAGCCTGTTGGCAAGAAGAGCCGGAACAGGGGGGTTTTCACAGGAATGCTAAAACAGTACATCTAGGAAGAACACTGAATTGCTACACATTTCTTTCATTATTCCCAGCTTACCTGTTACCCCTCTTATTTGTATCACACATTTTAGGTTTTAACTCGGTGCAAACACTGCATCCTCTCAGAGGACTGGTGTTTAGTCTGTCACTGGAAACCAAAAATAATGTTGTGAATTCATTAAATTCAATTTCAGACTGGTTTACTGCAAAGGTGAAGTGGAGTGTTTTCTCAGTGGTCCCTACAATGTCAGTTTAGTTTTAACAAGTTTGTATATATTTTTTTAACTTCCTTCACCTCTCTCCATGTGTTTCCTTTACTTCACTTGGGACTGGCAGGTGTTTGTAATTCTACTTGACACATTGTAACAGTCTGACAGCACTAGAATGAGGTGAATTACCTGAACTGCAACAGTAACAGGATACACAGGTTCAGATTCGGTCACTGTGGCAAAGCCAATACTTGGTACTTGCACCAGGGCTGGAGAAGACATGACAGAGAAACCGGCAATAAACTCCAATCGCAATTTCCTAAAGACATTAGTGAAAAAATAAAGGATTTCTACTTGACTGTCAGTTTATGAAAGTACAAAATACAAAAAAATAAAATTGCAAAATAATATTTCAGTACAATTAAAATACAATGCCCTCTTTTTAATCGTAACTTATTGTATCTTATATAGTTGGTGAAGAACGTGTCCATTCTTCTACTTGAAACCAAAACAGAACATTTCTGTTCTTTCAAAATCAAATCAAGATGAAAAAAGAAAACGTCCTAATGCATGGGAACTCCAACTGTGGGTCAGGACCTGCAGTGAGTCACTGTCACCACTCTCAAGAGTTTCAGCTGGGAGCAGAGGCAGGCGTGATCCCACACTTCCTGCCTGCGTGTCTCATTGTCCCATTGTCCACCACTCTCTAGAGAGCTGGAGAGCCGCTGGCTACTAAAGTTCACGGATGACCCCCTGGAAAAGTGGCTTGTGAGAGGGCCTTTGCTACAGAGGATTACAAATCCTAAGGAATTTTTGTAACTACCCAGTTTTGGCTCAGCTCCTCCACTTCCCGGCAATGCGATAACCTCAGTACGTTCCCAGGGCAGGGTATTGAGAGCCATACTCCCAGCGCCCTGTGGATCAACTCCCCAGAGTCCTCTATAGGCTTCCTGCAGCAGACCTGCTCCAGTGCTGCGGATCTCTGCAGAGGAGAAAAATACTGTAGCGTTGGTCACTGTAGCCAGCCATCGCGCAGAGCCATGTAAGTGCTAGTTCTTTATGGGTCATTTCAGGCATATCACACACTGCCAGTGACCGCTGGTGCCAAGAATCGAATTTGTCGACTGTATTCTGGTTCTAGAAAACATAGACCAATGACCAATGACAATAGATTAATGACATCCTGAACAGTATTTGAAATCTGATTGATTTTACATCTCATTGTGCAATCATTATACAATATGTGACACATTTCCTACTGAGTGAATAAAATTGCATTTGCATTTCACGTTTTGTGATAGTCTTGTGCTTTCTTTACCCTGGTAGTATTTCAGAGCATCTTGCACTACCATCTCTATACAGCTGCCAGGAATGACATCATGGAACTGATTGAGGAGCAGCAGTCTGCAACAGAGAAGAGCAAAGACCACACAGGACAGCTGTGCAACTTAGTGAGCATACAGGTGCACGACTTTGCACAACACAGGAAGTCAGCAGATAAGGAAGTCATTTTCTTTACAGTATGTCATGCTTTTTATGCAAATGAAATAGACTTATTTTTATTGCAACTTGAACTCCTTCAGTGCTTTGTGATTCTACAGTGAGTCATTGCGTGATGGGAATGCAGCAGATGCAGCTACTGTATACAGTAGATGGTGTGACACAGCAGACGTACTGTATGTGTAGTGAGGAAATGAGCTCAGACCGCTGACAGCAACAGGCAATCTCCAGACACAAAAGAAAATGTTAATGTGCGTCCAAAAACTCCCGAGGCACCTGCAGTGAGCAGATTTCTTTAACTACCTTGTGCGGCATGTAGCCTGACATTTCGCTTGTGTCTGGAGATCACCCACTGCCTTCAGCATTGTGAAATCATTTCATCACTGCAGATCCTCCTGCTGCATCTCCTGCAAACAGGAAGTATGCTTCCAGTGGTATCCAGTGTAAGTGCTCAGCAGATCTCCAGGTACCCAGTCATGACAGGAGACTTCGTGCGGCTTTACCTCCACAGCTCCCGGAGCTCCTGGGCAGGGTACCGAAAGCCCGAACTCCTGCAGAGGGCCAGACTGCTTGCAATCTCAATGTCATGAAGCAAAGCCTCGCACTGACGGTTCCCCAGCTTTATCTTTGCACAGAAAGCACAAAAGCAGCCATGCTCTTTAAATACCGCATGTGACAAAAACAGAGACAGTCATTTCTCACCATAACCATTGCTTACCATTACAATATATCATCTTCACAAGAACAGACATTGAACACTGATCCTGCATTCAAGCTTATTGGCGGAAAGGGGAAGGGGATGGAGGAAAAGGAAGTAGATACAGCTTAGCAAGCAGTTTATAGTTTTAAATATAACACAGACATTATGCGTGTTCTCCATTGCTTTCTTATGTTTAACAAAGTTGATAAAAAGA